CGTACAAGTGATCTGAAGAGCCACCAAAAAACTTGACTTTCCCACAGAGCCTCCAATTGCTCGAGGATCAGAAGAAAAAGCTGGATGTGTTCTGCGATCAGAGCTACAAGAATGTGAGTTCATTGGCTGCCAGCCGAATCTTGATCCACCCAATACGCGGAAAAGAATTTTGTACTTAAGTCAAGAAGTGACGGATCGATTACACTGATAAAAATAGGGCCTTTGCAGAATACTAGCTAGTATCTCCTTAAAGACAACATTTTTGTTTCAAAATAGTTCTGGATATCTAACATTTGATTCCAACTTAAGGTGATAGAGAAAACAAAAATTGCATTAGGCATGCTGATTTTACACCCACTGCAAAAGAGTCGAATGATTCTAGCAATGATGTACGATTTGTTACCGTGTATAACTCTTCCACTCTCTTCCCACTTCCGTTCTCGGCAAAAAAGGCCATGACACAGGAGCGACGACGGTACGGATTCGTCTTGGAGCGCCAGTGCTCGATCGCCAAGCACTGGATGGTCTACCACACCACCGGCAAGACGGTAATTGATAATAATTTGGAAAATTGGCAAGAGATTGCCGCTTCTCGTGAGATCATTCCCCCGGCCGCCTATGAAAGTGGATACAGCACCAGCAACGGACAGAACAACAACACCAGCGGCAACATGCGACGCCTGGTGAGTCATCCCATTGCCCATCCACGCCCATCCCAACTCCGATTGGGCGCTAACCACTCTGTTAACAAACCATTCGGCTATTCTGGATTCCGTACAAACAGATAAGCCCTTGCACTGCGTACCTGTTAAGTTTATGAAATTTTAACTTTTTGATTGAAATTTGATTATTTTATAATACCTACACGATGTCTTTGAGCAGGAGCGCATTAAGGACGGCGAGGATGACCACCTCCAGGGTCACGGAGCTCAGCTGAAGAAGTCGCGCAGCATCGATGCCCCCTATGGTGACATGCGCACCCTGCACGAACGGGAGAACATTTCCGGATTGGGCGGAACTGGGCCATCGCACTACGCCCAGAACTCGCTGCCACGCGCAAAATCCGATTTCAATCTGGCTTTAGTTGGCACTGGACAAAGCTCAGGTGGGAATATAGTTTAATTCAACTACATTTAACCAGCCAAATCATATCTAACCCATTGTTTCCTTCCATGGACAGCCAACAAGCACAAGATCATTGAGGAGCAGCTGGCCACTCTGGGCGACGATCAGCGCGGTGATCAGCGTCCGCTGGTGAAGGCCCTCTACGCCTACATGCCCTCCGGGGAGAACCAGTTGTCCTTCGAGGAGGGCGACCGCATTGCTCTGGTGGGCGGCAAGGCCAAGGGCTGGCAATTCGGTGAGAATCTGCGGACACAGCACTTTGGCTGGTTCCCGGTGGCCTACACCAATGCGGAAGTGGCGGAGACGGCCACTTCCGGTGGCCGGCGATACGAAAACATGCTGATGAGCTATGAGCGGAATGGAGGCGGTTCCGGTTCAGGTTCTGGCGGAGGCGGTCTGCGCAGCTATCAGCAGCAGCAGGACTACGAGGCGCAGCTGGAGCTGATGGAGAGCCATGAGGCCACATACCGCAGGCGAAGGAACCACAGCGCCGAGGAGTCATCACCCACGCGAATGTTCGGCGACACAATCAAGCAGCAGAAGAAGTACCGACCCGGATCCGGAGCCAATCCTCGCCCGGGTCCGCCACCCACTCTGCCCGCTCCGGTGCCCAATGGACCGCAGAGCCAGTCATCCAGGATGCTGAACAGCTCGCAAAGCTTCTGTGCCTCCAACGGAGGAGTCACTGCGGCGGTGGAAAGACGCAAGCAAAAGCTACTAAATGGAGTGCAGGTAGGAAGATTTTCGGCTAGATTAAACATTATCTAATTGCGTTCATCGGCAGAGTTCCAAGAACCATCCATCGGGCAAATCCGGAGTGGCTGCCAAGACCTCGCTGCACAGCAGCAATGACAGTGGATTCGCCAACGAGCCGCCGCCACAGCCGGAGGTTGACTATTCGGATGAGGAGCCAGCCACACAAAGAGTGGCCATTCGGTAGGTTTTAATGGAACTGTGCGTGATACCCTGGAAGACGGACTGGTTCCCATTTTGAAAGATTAAAACGTCCGTCTATCAAAGTATCATCAAATAAACAATATAATATACATATGCAGTGGCTTGGAGAGCAAGAGTAAAATTGTAAATATTTTAAATTCATCCGATGCTCGTTCTCCCAGCCAAGCAGCCGAACACCCGCATTTGTCCTTTATCTGTCACTAATCCCTATCCACATGGTCCACTTAACTAAAGTCCTTGTCATGCTATTTCATTATATTTTATGCCTGATTTGGAGTGCCTATTTGATTGAATTTATTTATTTTCGTTTGCTTTTCTTCCGCTCTTGTTTGATTCCATGTATCGCCATTATGCCCTGTTGTCATCCTTTGTGTTAACCCAACAAATATGCACCCAAAACACACACTCAAACACTTCGATACCACTACCCTCCAAAAACACACTGCCATATATGCAACACGAATGAAAAACAAATAAATAAAAAGACGCCGGGCGGACACCAATTCGCATACCAACACGGTGCCCAGGGATGTGGCCTCGTGGACGTTGAACCGGAACTTCCGGAACAGCGTCGATAGTCAGATCGACGACAAGAGCCTGCATCGGCTGAGCCGGCAGAGCGGAGGAGTCGGAAAGATGCGATACGATCTTATTGCCTCCGATGACGAGATCCTGCAGGCTTCCAGTGCCGGTCTGAAGCGCACCAAATCCTTCTGGAAATTTGGCGGCGGACGCAATGGCGAGGACATACTGGCCGGCATGTCTTTGTGGCAACACCGCGACCTGGTGGCGGCTCCAAATCTGGAGGAGATGCGCGACAGGGATGACCTGGAGCGTCGTTTGGAGGAGGATCGCAATGGCACACTGACCAAGTCGCACAACTCCAGTTCATCGCAGGAGAAGCGCGAACGCAAGGACAGCCTGACCAGCACCGAATTGTATGGCGATGAGGATGAGAATATCTACGGAGTGAGTCCACAGCAACCGCCACAGCAGCAGCAGCAGCAACAACAGCAACAGCAGCAGCAGCAGCAGCACAGGAGCAGCTATACTCCCAAATCCCGCATGAAGATCATGAAGACCATTGAGATTGATATTGAGGAGCCAACGGAGGCGGAGCGGATGAGCACCATGCGACGTGGTCAGTCGCAGGATCAGCAGCAGCATGTGCAGCAGCAGCACCGAAAGTTGGACAAACAGATTTCCGGCACCGGATCGCAACACAAATCCCTGACATTGAGTCGCACCAAGAGCAACCAGCAGCTGCAGCAGCAGCAGTTTCCACAATCCACGGATGAGGGTGAAAGCGATGAGCACGGAACCCTGAAGCTCAGCGATGTGAACAACTTCTTTGACGGGGAGGGCAAGAACAACAGCCATGGCCATGGGCTGGTCATGAAGACGGTGAAGCGACAGGACATACTCAAGCAGTATTATACCAGCGAGGACGAGGAGGATTCCGATGCGGAGCTCAAGTCGACTAGCTCCGATCCCTACGATTGCATCGTAATCAACGATCACCTGGTGCGCAAGGATGACAAGATGCGGCGGCATCACCAGCAGCAGCATCAGCAAATGGAGTTCCACACCTTCCGTTCCTCCACATCCACGACGGCGACCAATACGCTGAAAAAGAGCGCCTCCAAGGACCAGGACAGCACACTGACCCGCAATTCCACGGCCAGTTCGGGTGCACCGACGGCTACCATCCTGCCGCGAACACGCCTGCTCAAGTCCTCCGCCTCCGCCTCCGCTGGTAATAACATCGCCAACAGCAGTGCCACCTTGGAGCGGAACTCAAAGGGCCTGGGCGGAAACAAGAGCTACGGACCATGGTACGACTTCTGGGATCAGGAACAGCATGGCCAGAAGTTGGCCAGCGCCAAGCTAAAGTAATGAAAGGGTTAAGAATCGGTGCGTGTACGTAATAATACAACAATTTCGCCGTCTTCTTACCGGTTAAGAAAATGGGCAGAGAGAGAGCGTGAAAGTGGAGGGAAAGTGCGGCTGAGGGAAAGGATAAGTTACGTAAGAGTGATCCCCAGCAACCCAACCCTTTTCCAGTTCGCCTTGTCTCCTCACTTTGAATTAAGCATTATTTACCCTGTATAATTTCTTAGTTTAGCCTAAGGCAAATTCTGTTTTGTTTGTTTATGTACATATCATATATATTAATCGTAAGGCAATTGCAATTTTGTGTTTGCCAACGACGTGCGATGGCAATGGAAAAATGTCAATTCATTCCTGTACATGCCAGAGGAAACTTTCTAGAACAAGGACCTCTCCATTGAACATTCAAACCTTTGAGCTTCGGTGCCTGCATGCATATCATTAAATGTATTTTGTTTAAGACTAAGCTCACGCCCTGTTTCGCCATTGGTTAGTCGGAATAATGCAAATGTCAATTGGTTTTAGGAGGCGCGGTATATATCGCAACTATTCCATAGATTACTGACCTGTAGCGAGCCCGTGTATCCCAGCTAGCCCCACCATTCCCCGTATTAGATTGCATTTCCAGCCGTAAGTAGAGGTCCCAAGGAATGGGGATCGCTTTCCTCAACCGGACACGTCCTTGATCTTTTGCAGAGCCTCCCAGTTCGCCACGGTCAAGTTGCGACACACCAAGACCAACGACCGATCGGCACCGATGATCTATCGGAGTGTGAACAAGTAGCAACGACAGCGGAAGGTGGAGTTTTCCCTGTGACCAGTCGGTTGCCGGATGAACCGGAAGCTCCAGCTTTAGCTCCAGCTCCAGCCACACCAAACACAAACGAACGCAATCTATACAAATCACACTTTTTATATAGCGCATATACCATTCCATACCACTTAAAGGCATTGTCACTTAGATCCTCCAGTTGCTTCTTGGCCTGGATATTTGGTAGTCATTAAGTCATACTGTTTGTTAAACATTCTGTTTGTATGTACTTTTATGTTAAAGTTCGAAATGTATATTCCAATACCTAATTATTAATAAACCTTATAAAGTTAAGTATTGTACTGGAATCTCTGTGGGACTGGGTGGACATAGATTTGATGGTATATATAGTTTTGGACTGGAGAATGATCTTCATTACTTAGGAGTATTAGATAACTTGAAATCCAACCATGCACTATAATTGAATAACCTTGTTCTTATCCGACACTGAGCCTCTAACCAAGTCCGTGGGCGAAGAACATGTAAGCCATGACTTCGGTTTCCGCCAGCTCGATCGATTGCAGCCACGGAATCCTTAGTTAGATTAGGCATCACCTGTTTCCTGGGTCCACTGTCGGGTTTTGGATAGATGACAATCGTGTGTGGAGGTGGTGAGATTGCATATCTCAGGAATCATCAGAAGAGTCCTAGGATTCCCACCACATGGTATCCCCATTCGTGCACGCGGCATATTGTAGACGTTGTTTTTGAAGTTTCTGCAGAGGAAACTGGTCCAAGCTCAGAGTAACGTTTTCCTAGTAAGCTCCACTCTCCTGTAAAAACTATTCCCACAATTATTAAGGACATCTCGCAAACGGGTGCAAGCGTGGTAAGAAGTTCAAAATGCAGGCCAGCCAGTCATCGTTAAGATCGACACACTTATAATTTCACACTTTTATAAATTAAACAAACGACCGTATTCTTGTACAAGCGAATTGCTTCCTTCGACATAATAATTTCGGCTCGATAAGTATAAACTTAAAACATACTCACCACATGTGCATAGGTGCTGTGGTATTTTTGGTTTGGTATTTCTTAATGTCAGGCTAGGCGTTAGCACATTTCCGCGCGTTGCCGGCTGGTTCGGTCCAAAAATAAACAAACCAATTGGAGCATTTGGGATTGGAGCATTTGAGAGGAGGCGAAGCAAGAGGATCGCCTACCATGAATGGGTCCTGGAAACTAATCCTGCCCGTGGGCTTTGTGCTGTACTCGTTGCCATTGTTCCTGCGGGTAAACGGCACATCGGACTATGTTATCGACGAGGAGTTCCACATTCCGCAGGGATTGGCCTTTTGCCGAAAGGAATTCGATGTGGTAAACGAGGGAGTACTACACATTGGATCGACTGATCTTGACTAGTGTTCTTATAGTGGGATCCCAAGATAACCACATTTCCGGGCCTTTATCTGCTCGCCCTACTCCTGCATCCCCTGAACCTGTGCACGGTGACGGGCCTGAGAATGCTCAGCCTAGCAGGCGCCGGAGTCAATATTCTGCTGCTGTACAAGATCAGGCGGCGCATCCTGGCCGGCGCGGGTGGCAACTCATATGCCGCCCATGAGGCGATCACGATGTCGGTGCTACCGCCGCTCTACTTCTTTAGCCACCTGTACTACACGGACACGCTTTCGCTGACCATGGTGCTTCTGTTCTACAACTATTGGCAGCAGGAGGCGCACCTGCCGGCGGCGGTCTTCGGGGCCGCCAGTGTGCTGATGCGCCAGACGAACATCGTGTGGGTCTGTATGGCCACCGGTATGACTGTGCTGGACACGTTGGTGAATCAATGTGCCCGCACTGGTCTCGTTCCCAAGGAAAAAGTTCCACTGATGGGCAAAGAGGTGAGTCATTGCCTTCTTGTATTCCTTGGCATAATAGCATAAACGTTACCAATAAAATGACTACTTTCTTGATTTTTCAGTTGTGGATTCAACTTTTTAGCAGCCCCCAATTGCTGTGTAATTGCATCCTGAGCATCTTGGCCAAGTGCTGTTTCTACGCTTCGATAATTCTGCCGTTCGTGGGATTCCTGTTCATCAATGGTTCCATTGTGGTGGGCGACAAAAGTGCCCACGAGGCCAGTTTGCATGTGCCGCAGGTCTTCTACTTCGCTATCTTTGCGGCAGGATTTGGGATATCCAACACCATACGCCAGTTTCGTGTTGCAGCAGAATTAATCCGCAGGAATCGCGTGCTGTCCCTATTGGCGATGCTGATCATACTTGTGGTGGTGCACCTAAACACCGAAGTGCATCCCTATCTGCTGGCCGATAACCGACACTATACATTCTACATATGGAGCCGACTTTATGGACGGTTCTGGTGGTTCCGCTACGCCATGGCGCCTGCTTATCTGCTCTCCATTTGCGTACTCTTTTGCGGGCTGCGTCACATGCCGGACAGCTTTAAGTTAATGTTTCCACTTAGTCTTTTCCTGGTGCTGTGCTTCCAGCGACTCCTGGAGCTCCGCTACTTCCTGGTGCCGTACATTCTGTTTCGGCTCAACACGCGGCACACTCGCAAGGGTTACGCCGAGTGGCTGGAGCTCGGTGCTCATCTGCTCCTCAATGTGGCCACGTTCTACGTGTACTTTACCAAGGAGTTTTACTGGAAAAATTACCGCACTCCTCAAAGGATCATATGGTAGTTCCTTTTAAACGGCATTCCTCACAAATTCAATGAACTCGATAACGTCTTGAGCATTTATAAAATAAAACAGTTGGACATTTTCAATATTGCTTTTTATTCGATGCATTGCTACTTGAATACAAAATTGCTCTACGTTTTAGTTGTAAAATCTGGGCAGAGTCCTATGGATATATATTAATGGGTGGAAAGTGTAAAATAATTTATAAATCGTATGAGTTCTTTAGTCTGTGGACAATTTGGCACTTGAAACTATATGAATAACATGATTTTATAGACCATTCGATTTTCAAATCATTATAATATTAAACATATAGTGTTCAGCCATAAAAAGGGACCTCCTTTGAACGTAAATATGCGTATAAAATGTTATTTGATAAATATGTTAAAACTTACAAGCTACCGAATTGGACATCAATAGATAATACTGCCGAGGCATACATAAAAATACATTTGATAAAATCGTACACTTTGAGCATGCTGAGAGAAACTAGACAATCTATATGTTAATGATAAGTAATAATGCTGATCGCGTTGTCGAATGCACAGAATGCAAAACTAGGCAATAAATGCTACTGACTATGGTAATTAAATGAGCACACACTTTAAGCGTTACGGCTGCAGGCCAAATTGTGATCTCAGTTTGGCACACAACCCTTTAGAAAACAATAAATCGAGTGTTCCCGCCTAATCGAAGGCCACCTTGCGTGTGAACGAGGTGAGGGAGGAGATCTCGCTGGGATTGGAGTCCGATGGCAGGTGGCTGAACTCGATCTCCTCGCTGGCTGCTGAGGCAACTATATTCTCATTGGACTGCGTGGTCTCGTCACTGTGGTGCATTGTGGGCCATTGCTTGTGACTGGGTGCGTACAGGATGAGCAGGGCAAAGATATAGATGTTCCACATGCCGTAGACGCCGGTCAGGAAGGCGGACGTTGGCTGAATCGCCACATTGTCGTTCCAATCCCACTGTCCTTCGGCCCTTTGGCCCATAATGAAGCCGGTGACGGTCAGAGCTGCACATACAATGGTGGCCAGCATCAAAAACTTGAAGCGGTAGATAAGACCTGATATTGGGAATAATTAGAAAGCTTTAGTTAGTTTTTATATCAGTTTTAGTGTCTGCTCATTTATCCATAACAGGATTGGCTTATATGGCATATTAGTATGCAAAATTCGGCTGGGTACAACATCGCATATTAATTAAAATACATTATTTCTATAATTATACTTTACTTTCACTCTCCATCCTTTTAAGAAATATTGTTTTCCAGTAATAATATAATATATGGGGCCAATCTTCAACAGGCTGGTCTATGGAAACTAATAGACGTTTCAAAATAAACAAGTGTGTCACACAAAACTAAATGGGACATAACATTTAAGTATGAATGAACTTGATTAAGACAAGGAAACTTTATAAGGTATTTTTTGAATTAGACGTTTTAAATTAATTCATTCCAATAAGCAACATGTTTCATTGGTCTTGCGAGCATGTTTTAATGTCTAAATCATTTGTTAAACGAATTATGTGTGTGAATAATACAATCGAAATAATATAATCGGAATAACCATTGGACTTCAAAATGGATATCTTACCTTCATAATGGAGTCGACGTGCCTGGGACATAGAAGGTAGCGAGGTGCGCTTGTCGCCAATATTCCTAAACACCTTCCATATCATGTAGCACAGAAAGAGGAAATAAATGGCGGCCGAAACTCCGGCCAATACAATGAAGGTCATGGCCATCTTAGCAGCCAGCGGCATTGCCCAGATCGAATAGAATGGGTTGCGTAGCTGCACGCCCCTTTCGCAGATGTCGAAGACGAAGAGCGAGATGCAGCCCACCACGACGGCCGAGAGATGTTTCCAGTAACGCGACCGGATGGTCGACTTATTCGGAGCATCCTGAATGAGCATGTGTTCTCCGGCGAAGACCAGCCAGAACGTGAGCAGCATGGCATAAAAGATGCCTTGACGGATGTCACTTAGCAGCAGCATGTACGGCATCTCGAAGACCAGCGACAAGTACTCCAGCGGTAGATTGAGGAAGGTCAGAGCGGCTCCCAAATAGATAAGCATATACTCCAGCAGGGCAGGGGATCGCTGCAGCAGGTGCACCCGCCTCCAGAACCATATCATGATGCCCACCACAAAGGGAAACAGCACTGTCTTCAGCAGCAGCCAAATCTGGGTGAATCCTCCGTTCTGATGTATAGCTGTCAGCGTGAGATCATGCATGTGCCCGAACTGTAGGTTCATCTGGCTCGGTGTGTCCAGCGGGAAACGCAAGTTCAGCAGATAGAAGCTGTGGTGCAAGGCGCCCAGTTCGAACAGCGGAATCATGTCGCATGAGTAGAGTGTTTCTGTGGGACCCACATGAGAACTCACACAATCCAGGTAGCGGTGCTCTACGCCGTGGGCGTACAACTTCCAGCCGTTGTCCGGATCTCCCTTATTTCGGTACGCCAGACGCATGTCGATTGTCAACTGAAGTTCCCTGGGCGGCTCCCTCAGCTCAGAGGAGGAATCGTAGCCGAACTCCACCTGTAGCACACCAATCAGATTCTGCTGCCAGCGGGAGTAGTCCAAGTCCCGCAGGTCACGAGGTAGGGGCATTTGAAAAACGTGCACCAACTCATTGGCCATCTTTGTGGAATCCTGCTCCACCTCCTCTCGGGTCACTGGGATGCAGGCCCCTGCGCCGCGGGAGTACAACAGGAATCCGGTGTCATTCTGGCGGCCATGATCCTCGCGGCACAGCGATCCCAGCACAGTGACATGACCGGCGGGCAGGGGGGCATAAAGACCGCCCAGTAGGAAGCACAGCACCTGGCAGAGCAGCAAAGTGGTCACCAATATGGACAGCTTTCGGCCACTCAGGTTTTCCAGTATGGTGCCCGACATCTTGGTTGCTCGGGGGTTTGGAGCTCACTGGTTTACTGCTCTGCGCTGGATTTGTTTACACAGTTAGGTATGCGTAAAGTAAACAATCTGCTGCACTTGAAAATACTACTTCAAACGCGCCGCAAACAGAAAAAATGCAGAAGCGAATCATGAAACAACAACGCAGTGTGACCTTGCGCGGATGATTCGAAGTCCCACGATTTTGGTACATCGAAAATACCAACATGGGTATATTTTTATTACGGTTCAGTTAAATGTGCACACTGTTTTTTTTATTTAACTTTGATGCTTCTTTTAAATATGATCCTATTAGTTAAACATAAAATCAGGCAATTGCAGGAATTGGCGGTGCATGAACGCACTAGGCATCTATTTTAGCTCTTACATTTTCCGGCCTTTTTCGCACTAATTGCCCTCTCCCCAAAATGGTCAATAAACTGGAGGGGACTTTCTATGACTTTTTGTCCTATGAAAAGAGTGCTTCGTATTCTCGAGTGACACTTTTCAAGCCGTTAGTAAATCGGAAACATTTGAATTGGTGAAACCACGGGAACCAAATGCGCGGGTGACGATGGCGATGTTGCCCCATCATCGCGCTGTTGCTATCATCAGCTCGGCTCCATGAAAAACAGCTGTTCGGGCTTTCCACCTGATATTGCGACAGGTGTCCAAAGAGTAAACATTGGCTGAACTTTGCAGCGGGCGGACGGAAAATGCGGCCTCTCCAGGTGAGTGCTATAACGCCGAGGAGCGTTATCGGTCCCGAGAATACAAATATTTTGAATGCTTTAGCGTGTGCAGCAGCTGCTGAGCTTGGGAAGACGGATTCGAGGCAAAAGAGCACTTCATGGCCAACGGGAAGCGAGTGTCCAGAAGAGCGGTCTTCCCGTATTGCGATTTAGTCTTCTGGCAGCCGGCGCAGGCGGTCTGGCCTACGATGGGATAGTGAATGACTTCACCTACTGTGGCGCCTCCGTGCGGTTTGTACGGTCCTTGAAAACAGCCGGATTGATAGCCGCCGACTATCTCCGGCTGGACGATGACGATCCGGAATACGAAAAGAAGGTGAAGCTGCTCCACAAGAAGAGCGCCGAACGACTACTGGAGACGTGCCTGCTCAACGGCGGCCTGTACATAAAGGTGGGCCAAGGATTCGCTGCCATTAATCACATTCTGCCCGTGGAATACACCAGCACGCTGTCCCTGCTGCAGGATAGCTGCCTGCCAACCACCCAGGCGGATGTCCAGAAGGTCTTTCGCAAGGATTTTGGCCAGTTGCCCGAGGAGATATACCAGGAGTTCGACTATCAGCCCGTGGCGGCCGCAAGCTTGGCGCAGGTTTTCAAAGCCAAGTTGCCCAGCGGCGAGCAGGTGGCCGTCAAGGTGCAGTACAACGATCTGCAGAAGCGATTCATCAGCGATCTAGGCACCATCATCTTCCTGCAGGACATTGTCGAGTTCTTCTTCAAGGACTACAACTTTGGCTGGATCTTGAATGACCTGCGTAAGAACCTGGTACTGGAGTTGAACTTTTTGCAAGAGGGACAAAATGCCGAACGCTGCGCCAAGGACATGAAAAAGTTTAACTATATCCACGTTCCCAAGGTCCATTGGTCGCATACTAAAACTGTGAGTTTTTTCTAATATTCGTTTAGATTTGATTAGAAATCAGGTTGAATGCTTAAATGAACAATCGTTTTTCCCAGCGCGTGCTCACTCTTGAGTGGATGGATGGATGTAAGATCAGCGATCTTAAGACGATTGAAAAAGAAAAACTCAGCCTAAAGGACATCGATGTGAAGCTCTTTGAGGCATTTGCAGAACAGATTTTTTACACTGGCTTCGTGCACGCCGATCCCCATCCAGGAAATAGTGAGTTAACTTATGAAGCTTATCCTAATAATGTTTTAATTAAAATTTCCCGCCCGATATCTAAAGTTTTTGTGCGAAGAAATAGAAAAAACGGCCGTGCGGACATCATCTTGCTAGATCATGGCCTTTACGAAGAACTGCCTGAAAATGTGCGAGGTCCACTTTGCGAATTCTGGGAGGCCACCGTTCTACGGGACGAGAATAAGATGCAGGCGGCCGCCGAGAGGATCGGCATCGGCGACTACATGCGCTTTGCCGAAGTGCTCTTCCAGCAGCCCATCCGGAATCGAGGTGGGCGCATACGGGGCAAACTAACGCAGGAGGACATCGACCACATGCAGGAGATAGCCAGGAACAACTTCGAGCATATCATGGGCACCCTGAAGGAGATGCCCAGGAGCATGCTGTTCGTGGTGAGTGTTGTAGCATTCCATACACGTGGTATTAGCTGAGATACATATTCGCCCATTAAACTAGGTGCGTAATCTGAACACAGTGCGTGCAATTAGTCATCAGCATGGAGATGTGGTGAATCGTCCTCGGGTCATGGCGCGATATGCCCAGAAGTGCCTTTATATGCAGCACAATAGGAGGTCCCCCGTGCAATATATCCATTGGCTGAGTCGGCGCATCTTCTTCGAGTACTGTCTGTTTCTGTCGGCCTTCAAGCTGTATCTGCTCGACTGGTACTTCAACATCCTGTACCTAGTGGGTCGGGCTCCTGCCTCTGCGAGAACCGTGATGCGAGAGATAATGCAGCCTCCGGAGCCGGGTGTGTTGAAATAAGTGCACTAACCGTTTGCTTTATGCCTACATCATAAGTTCAAAATGTACTTTTTCAAATGTTGTATACATATTTTTATTCCACTAACTTGTTCTCAGAAATATTTAACCTTGTGTTCAACTCGAAAAGCCCTTCGAACCATGACAATATGAATGCAGTTGTTATATAATAGAGAATGAGTTGGGGAGTATATGTAGTTTTATAGTGTGATGAGCGAAGTATTTATGCCTTTTTGATGCTTTACTTTTAATTGCCCATTAAGGTGCAGGATTTCTGAATAAATTTTCTAAGCACTTGTAATGACTGCCAGACAACAGAGAGTTTACTGACAGGCGGGGAGAATACCCTTCAACAATTTGGCTAAACCTGATCACTACGGACTCACCGGGGCATTTTCGATTTACCAAGCCAAGAAAATGCGGCATTCACCTGTGTTAAGCCGAGGTGTGCATGCCAGTTTGGTACTTTAATAAAATTGACGCTGACTTGCCCAAGGTTATAACCAGCCAGACAGCCAATCAGCCAGTTATTGGGCCACTTTCACTTCCATTTAGGCCCTCCCAAAAATTCAACAAATCAATCGGGTGGCCTGCCCGAAACACGAGTGCTGTCTAAATTTAAAATGCCTGAGCCTGGGACTGCGGTGGGTCCTGGAATGTCTTCTCGGTGTATCATTGGAGTATTAACACCCAGTAATGCACTCACACACAGAACGGCATCGGTACAGGTGTGCCTTTGCCTCGGAATAGGCACAAATGGGCGTCAACTACATATTTCCGGTTGTGTGGAACGCCCTGACAGGCTGCAACATGCCAGATTCAAGCTGAATATAACCTCCACCTATGGCCAAGCACATGTCCTATGTCCCATGTCCCATGTCTCCGTCATCGTCTGCGTCTCCATTGCTTCCCGCCGTAACACTTTCACTTTATTGTGCCACATACATCGAGTTTCGTGTGCCGCACACAGAACTAAATTCAATTCAATTTCATTTAAAGTTACTTTCGCTGACTGACAGACAGCAAACGACCCTCTCAGCCTAAGCCTAAAACCCATCACAGTGGGCCACAAAACGACTGGAAGCATTCTAAATTTTGGAAAACCTTTTATTCACGGTGCAAAAATACTTTTGTTTCCTTAGTTCTGCGCTGAACTGGAAATGGTATTTGCTGCTTAGCAACTACTCGTATAAATGAAATGAAATCCCACTGTAGCCAACTGCCACCTGACTGGCTTCTGTTTAGTTGCGCATACGCCCCGTGCGCCCACGGCTAAATATGAAATTAAAAATCCATGCTGAAGTGTGAAATGCCTAGGAGCTGTCTGCCAGAGCCTCCACCTCCGAGGCTCGACTTGGAGCCCGGAACGGTGCTCGACGAGAAATCATTCGCCGACGAGTCGCAGAGTGGAGCAAAGGTCTCTAGCGGAAACGGAAATCAGCAGCTAATTAGAGAAAACGAAAATGAACAAAGAGTTCATCACGCAGGGCGGCACGCCCATTACCGCCGAATTGGCCACGGTAATTAGCAGTCCATCCGGACTTGTACGCAATTTGATTCTGCACTTTTTGTGCCATCGTTTAGGATCTGCGCAATTTGGTTTTCGGTACCGCAGCCATTCCCATGAGAGCCGAATGGCTACAGACCTCCTTTGTGTTTGGTGCTCCCAAAGAGGAACTGGCCTATGGCCTGCGTTCGCCACGGAACGCCACCCGTGGTCTGTTGTCCGTCGTCCAGGGATTCGTCTTGAAGTATCTGCTCTTTGCGCGGAAGACTAGTCGCGTGGCTTCGCTTACCGAGTGCGTTTCCATTTCCGTTTCCGGTTTTTGAGCTGCTTTTGCAGAGTGCTTGTGTGTGCTTTTGATTTCAGCCCGCTCCTGGCCACCGCCGATATGCAGAGGGAGGCCTTGTTCTGTGCCCTCTTGGAGATCCTGCGCACCATCTCGGACAAGGGCAAGGTCACCATGGTGCTGCCATCGGAGGACGAGGTGTTCGTGGACCACAGCGCCTGCTATTTCCATGATTCCGTCACCGAGAAGGTACGTGCCACAATTGCATAATTTAGCGTTATTGATCTAATAGAGCCAATACGTGCTAAAAACTTTAAAAGACAATATGACTTATGACTATTACTCAAAATGATTACCGAATTGAAATACACCTTTAAATAGATTTTCAAGAACAGCTCGATTTTTAAATCCAACAAGGGCTAATCTTATGTATATGCTAACCATTAATATGACAAATGTATTCAGAATATGCAAAGACGTTATTTAAATTACAAAATCCAAATAAATTTATCCTTTGCAGCTCTATGTTTTCACGCTGTCACCCAACGACGAGTTGGAATACTTTTTGAAGCGAAATTTCAAATACGTAAGACCCACAAAGTTACCTATTTACTTGCCCAGCCATTTGCTCAAACAGTTTGCACTTAATCCGCCTAAAAGTTTACAGAAGAGGAGACCCCAGGCACCCTGCTGTTTCTATATAGCGCCGTACTCACGCGATCCATGGGAAAGTAAGATTGAGCCCAAGTGTCTGTACATGCAAATGCCATTCTCTGCTCCAGAGACCTTTTATAATACCATTAATTGTACCCCTCGGCGGTGAATACTTTCGAATGTTTTGCAGAGTTCGTACGGACCTGGACTCCGCCAAATCCTCGCCCCTGACGTCCAGCAATCACGAGGAGGGATCCCTGATGATTGTCACCCTGCTGCTGACGGGACGTGCCACGCCCTATATACATAATGGTGTTGTGAATGTGGGCGACGAGAGTAGCTATGTGCGTACCGGATTTTTGGCGATTTTCAACTTTCTGAGTTCCCTGGACTCCAATGGGTATACTTTGGTTCTTCCAGGCGGTTCCGCAATACGGCGTCCTTAAACGATGCATGATTGGTCTTCTGCTCTGGGACATCGAGTCAGCTAGTGTAAGTGGATTTTTTAAACTGATTAATAAGATAAGATCTCATAAAGATATCATTACAATTTACATACCTGGTGACCAAACTCAAAGTTTTGCTTCTAACAGTCTATTAAATATGACCGTGTTAAATCTACATTTTAAGATTGTAAATATCGTTATATATTGAATATTAGGCTGCGGTAAATCAGTCCCGGCAGCCGGGCTCCCGACTGAAGACGCCCAACTATCCCATCTGGATAACCAGCTGCACGGGTCACTTTGGCGTGATCTTCAACAAGAACCCGGATCTGTTGCGCAACTACCATGCGGAGTCGCGTTTCGATGTGAACTACTACAGCTGCTCCGGTCACCAGATCCTGATGACCATCGACAATCGCACGTACAACGAGCAGGCATTGGTCATGTTGGAGCGGCAACCAATCACGCCGGAGAGTACCTCGATGTCCGGAAAGGAGGATGGCGGTGGCGCATCGTCGCCAACGACCGTTTCCGGCGGAGGAGGTGCTGCTGCCGGCGGCGGTGTGGGTGGCGCTAGCGGCGGTGTTGGTGGTGCTGCTAGTGGCGCTAGCGGTGGTAACGATGTGGTCGCCAAGGAGGAGTCGACGCTCAACACGCCGTTGCAGCGTCTGATTCGTACCAAGTGGGAAGAGGCAACTATAAGCTTTCACGTGCAGCCATCGATGTTGAGTTATCTTTTTAGTACCACGCAGTAGAATGCAGGCTCCAATTTGCTTTAGGAACTCCTTTGCTAAAGTCAGAACGATTCACATTCAAGCGCAAGAGATATCATCAAAGTTATTAGTGGGCTTGCAAAATATTCTTTCTTATCTACGGTTTCAAGTCAGTTGATTTTATTTATTAATTTTCAAAAGTAGAAAGTCTATAAGACTGCCTATAAGATTGCCAATTAAATTTTAAAGTGAAAAATTAAATTCAGATTAGTTATTAAAGAACTTTTATTAGCTCAGCTATTAAAAGTAAAGAAATGTTTTGAAAAGGGCATTCGTTTAATTATTTAAATTTGCTACATATTATTGTTTAATTCAGTCATTTTATTGATCACCAAGCATGTAAGCTTGTCATGTTGTCTCTTGGTCTATGATATAAATCGACTTTCTTGGCGAATGACCAATGCTCAAATGAATTTAAACTGCTCGACATATTCTCTTTTGGATATGAACGGTTTTCATTCGCAAACCAAACAAGTAAGTTCCAAAAACAAGTAGCGAAAAAAAAGAAAGTTAATAATGTAACGAGAAAATGAAGTTTTAATAATTTGATTAATACTTTTTAATATCTATAAAATCTTTTCGCATAGTACTAATTTTACAAGATAAATCAAATGCAAAATATCTATTATTATCGCAGAGATAGGGTTTTGAAAAGCCCCAGAAATGGTATAGATTTAAGCACTTAACAGATTAGTGCCACATATTGTAAGCTTGTTAGACGATGCACGAGATTATAATTTAACTAGCACAATTTAAATGAGTAGTAGAATTCTACTGTTGCTGTCTTTCCGATGGAAAATCCCAATTGGTATTTTAAAAAGATACGAACGCTCGAAATTGCAAGCATCGAACTAAAACGGCGATGGTAAATACACGTAAAATATTCCAAGTATCTGTTGAATGCCAACGAGCAAAGGCAGATTTATGAAATGAGGCCACAGCCTTCAGAAATCTGCCTGGATGAGGCCTCCCTTTACGAGAAGAGCGACTGCAGGACTCTAAACCAGTTGATTGATGCTGCCGCCTGAAGCCACTAGAAGATATAATATTATCCAAATCTATGTAGATCACCAACATGCTTCGATTACTCCAACCGCACTTTTCCATATTATTCAGATTCTGTTAAAAATAAACCAACTTGTACAACCTCTGTAAACTGCAAAAAGTACCATTTCTTGAGATGGAGAAATGAAACAATTGGGTGGATTACTTTGAAAGTTCTTAAGAAAAGTTTATCAATTTATTGAAAGGTATTTGTATTTTGTTAAAAAATGATTGAAGTTCCTTGCTATTAGTCCTGTCAGGTTTAAACATTTTATGTTGTAGTTTACTTGAATAAGAGAATAGTTTTAGACGTATTTCTGTATCTGTAGTATTCATTGAAACATTGTAAGATATTTTTGAAAAGGTTTAAGTTGCTTTACTCGAGAATGCACCCAGACTCGGTTGTTATTTTATTTTTGTAAGTTTTTGTAAGTACCTAACTAATGTCTTTGCGGCATATCGCATTCAATTCAATTGTATAAATTGTATAAATCTCGTAATACCATTTGTCAGAGTTTTTTCCCATCCCTGCGCTTTTCCCCGCTTTAGCGGGACTTGTAAAAATTTTGGTTACAATATTTGGTGATTATTATTTACATGTAGGCGATTTCAGTGCAGTTCATAACTTGAATATAATTTTCTTTTTAAACTTAACTTAGCGTACTTATGAGTAGTGAAAAAGTGTTGCTTTGGAAACCCGTTTCGGACGTAGAACAAAACGCATATCTTAGGTATACAAAAAGAGTTCTCATTTAACACAAAAAATCGTGCAGCGTTTAGGATGAAATTGATTTTGCCAAACTTTTAAGCCATTCAGTCCCATTAGCAGGACCCATACCCATTACATTGTTTAAACTATGTATGTCTTCTTCGTCCTGTTCGTATCCAATTTTTATGTCGTGCAATTTAAGTGAAGCACGCGATTCAGTTTGGTTTCGCCGGGGCAGGAGGCTCATCCGTGCATGACTTACATATCTGTGCCGCCTCGAACATCCATATGTCGGCATGAATTATGGAAACGCTTGCCCCGGTTTCAGAAGGATTCGGGGAACTACCTTTTTTTTCGTTGACACCTTGCCCTAATTGATTGTTGATGTGGTTCAGACCCTGACCTCGCACGAATCCTGCAGACGGCAGTTGGAGGTCCTGGGTTCCGCAGGTGATTGAATTTGCTTAGGGTATTGCTGAATTCGGAACTTGAGGGGCTTGTTCTTTGGTCTAGGAACATCTTATCCAATTCGTTGCTGATGTTTGCTTTTATGGCTGAGAATTCCGTTTTAACTTAGAGTGTAAAACAAATGTAATCTTAAATTATTTACACAGTAGTCATAGACGCTGCGATATGATACAACAGGTTACTTAAGGTTCGATTAGGTGTGCGATGGTTCGAGGTTCGAGGTTCGAACAAACAAAGCCTACGGTGCAGAGCATTATCATAGGGATGTGTGCGCTTAGAGCCTAACTAATCATATGATTATGATAATAATGTACACCGACTAATGATCTGATCAATTCTGATTGGGTTTCTCCGTGCGCCGGATTGTACCTGTACAATCCGTCAGAGCCACGGTCAAATGGGAGCGAGCCACCCTGAATACGGCGAACTTCTAGCTAAGCCTAACTAGCTAACTACAGTCAATATCCCTATGGGCGCACCAGTAGCCTGTCTATGTGCTCCAGGTTCGTATTCTTGTAGCGCGTCCTGTTCAGCGGCTGACCGGGTGCGTTCTTCTTCGTCTGCGTGTGCCATGTGAGAATCTATAAATGAAGTGGATTAGCCGTAATCAAAAATGTAATTAGCCACCTTTAAGCCATTACTCACATCTCTGCAGTCGTCGGCCAGCAACTCGATTTCCGCATCGGCAAGTGGTGCCAGACTGCGAAGGAAGCCATCCTCCTCGTAACCCGGCTTGAAGGGCATCTGGGCATTGGGACGCTCCTTCAGAAACTTGACGCTCACCGCAAATCCAGCCATGTCCACTGGATACTTGCGGCCTCCGATCCAGCCGTCGTAGTACCCCACGAGCTTGCCCTCCTGAATAATGGGGCTGCTCACTCCGGTCTTTGTGACCAGGCCGACTGGCCACATGGCCACCTTGCTGATGTAGCGCATCTGGACGGAATAAAAAATGAAAAAAAATTATGAAAAACTTAAAATATTAAATAAAGTGTCTTATTGATTGAATTTTTAATACTTAAAGTCAAGTCAGTGTGTCCACATATTTTACTACAGAACATTCATTTCAATTCCTTAATTTGCTGTACGAAGGTAAAACCCGCGCGGCTTTATCCGCCATTGATCCGAAGTGGGCATCCCTTGACCCCCAGTTTGTGTAAATTGTGGTTTATTCACCAGGAGGCTCGGAGACCAAGTTACCACCGCCCACCTGCTGCTCCTTGCCGTTGGCTTACCTGCTCGAATATGCTAATGTCGTAGGTGTTGTCGTCGTCGGCGAAGTAGAGCACTCCCTCGGTGGCATGTTGGCGCAGATACTCGAGGCCCCGATTCCGGTTGGAGACGCCACGCGGCTTGGCCTTCTTCGTCTGCTTGTACTTCTCCGGCATGGGCGCTACGGTGGCCGATGTGGCAATGGATGTGGAAGTGGAAGTGGAAGAGGAAATGGGTGCGATGTAGTGACTCGTAAATATCACTTGAATGTGTCCCGGACATGACACAGCGTTGGGGGCGGGAACTGGGTGGGGAACCAATACTCACCCACCATGTACTCGTAGGGCACTCCGATGCGATCCAAAGTGTGGCCCACCAGCGGATTCGTCTTGTTGGCGTCCTCGATGACCAGCCAGAGTAGATTCACCACATGTTTCAGCGTATATCCCAGCCTGGTGAGCTCCGCCAGCTGCTCGGGTCGTCGGTAGGTGGGAGTGATTATGTACAGGGGCGGCTGTGGGTCGAGTTGATTTGAGTTGAGTGTCATTAGGTTATCTAACGCCGTGGACTACGGGGCGTATGTGTGTGCACTGCACTTGGACTGGTTAGGTCTAGAGGTGGTGGTAGTTGGATGACTAGGTGGCTGGATGGCTGGGAGATTGGGTGATTGGGTGCCTGGTTGGCTGAGTGCCTCGTTAGGTGCCAGTGGGTGGTGCGTAATGCGGCGTGAGCTTCTTTTTATGAGCAATTATGCAAATTAATTTACAGCCCAATGACTTGACTAGGCGAAAGCGAGCGAGCCACATCCGCCCATCATTGCCGCAAGTCGTGTGTCTGGGTTCTGGTTAAGCAATATGGGTCGCCTTTCGCTTGTCAAAGGCACTCGGCGAAATTATGCAATAAAGGAGGCAAAATGCATCCTTGAATTAAACACTTTTTTTCTGAGTAGAGCAGATGTTGTTAGAAATTAACAAATTAAAAGCTGGGCAAATAAATGAGACCTTGGTCAACGAAAAGTTATTCAAGGAAACCAATGAACTCTCCACCTTTTCAAAGTTAATGACGTTTTAGTTTGTAAATTAAATAATTGTAAATAGTTTCGAGTGTAATTCACAACTCACATGTATTAAGCACTCGTTCTAGATATGATGTGCCTGTGAACCAGTGGCCCATTGAACGACTGACGTTGAAAATAAATAAACTGGCGCACTCACTTTGCAAATTGTCCATTGTTGACACACATGCACACATGCACACCCACAACACAACACAAACACAACACCACCCCATACCACCCACCCACATGCAAGGGGGTGGAAAATATAAATGCATTCATTTTGCAAAATAAACTCGGATATTCAAATGAATGGAGGAAGATAGAACGGATCAAGGGGCAGGGTGGCATGCAAAGTAGCTGGCCTTTCGCAATATCAGCTGATTTCATGTAATGGATCCCCATTGGATTGCTTATATGGAAGGCCATATGAAATGTTTCATATATTATATATTAAATGTATAATTGTTGCAAGATTATAGTGCTACGAGTACCATAACTGAATTTCCCCTAATAACCTTTTGAACTGTGTTAAAACTATTTAGGTAATAGTAATAGTGAGTTAAAGAAAGCGATCAAGTCAGAAATCTTAACTGGTTGCTTGCCAGGACATTTTTATACCGAACTGCAAGTAAGCCGCAATTAGTGGTTTTAATTTTGCAAGTATTTTGGATATGCTGATAAAATTGTATTTTATATTAGGTATATTAGGTGTGCACACAAAAAACCATCTCATTGCTGATGGGCTTGACCGTTGACATTGAGTGCAGGGCACTGGAATCGCTGTTAGTGGATGCAACTGGCGCGTGAATATTTTCAATTGGCTTGAATTTTGCATAAATGTGGAATCTAGATCAGCAGCAGGCAACCCTCTTTCAGTGGCCACTTTCAGCCGCATTCAACGCTACTGATTTTTCTATATATTTTTCCATTTCATTCAGCTGCAGCTGGATGAGGTTTTGGTTTCATTTTGGTACTGGGTGTAGCAGTGCAGTGCAGAGCAATTTTCAAATTAGGCTCATGCCAAATTAA